TATGGTCCACTGTAGTAAAGCTAGTAAAGTAAACAAGTCACATACCCTATTGTGAACTGTGAAGAAGACTTTTCTAGTGATTTGAATAAAAAGATGTTATAGACATTAATATTCTCATTAATTTTGCAGAGAGATAGTTGAGTCACACTATTTTCTAGTTCTGTGCCACTGCTCATATTTTATTCTAGCTTAATGAGGAAAAAGAGAAAGAATACACAAATAAGAGGTTCTGCTGGAATTATATACAGCCCTCTACCCCATACTAGTTGCCCCAAAATCTGTTTCTGTAGAACATGGTAAGAGCTGATGTTCATAATGTTTAATGTTAGCCCTTCAAGTCAAAGAGAAGAGGATGTTTAATATATTGTGCTTAAGAAAGCAATGAAAGGAGTAGGTAATCTATTCCAGAAGGAATTTAATAGAAAATAATTATGTTTTGTGACTTAGTTCAACTGTGTAAAAACTTAGCCCTCCAAAACTATCTATTCCCTAAGAGTCCGACATAAATGAAGTCTTACTATATGTGCAAAATACTGAAGATTAAGAAAAGATACTTCTCCGGAAGAGACAATCTAGGTATAAAGATCAGAAAATAAAATAGTTCAAAGGAAAATATTACAATTAAGTATATGATTAATTAAAATAATCTATAGGAATTTAAGGAAAGTGAGATAACTTCTTTTACAAAAGTGATGAGATTTTAGAAGGTTTTTAAAATTTGAGTAAACTTTAAGGAGGAAAATGGAGGGTATCCAGGTTAGTCTCAGTTGTAGTAGGAAGGCCGTTACCTTCAAACATCAATACTTGATTAAAAAGTCCTCGAGGTGGGGACTTTTATTCACCTGGCTGACTCATTAAAAGCTCTCAATAGGTATCAGTTGAATCAAGTTGATTTGTTGATAAAGCCAACATAAAGAGAATTCTTAACGTTTAGATTCTTCTAAAATACTAACTTTTATGAAAAAAATCAAGTATGCTTATCTGAAATACTGTGGATAAAAAAAGAATCAGACAACTAGCATGGTCTTACTTCTCTTTTCCCCACAGGTGTGTGGCTTCTGAACTTGAAAAGATACAAAAGTTTAACTGTATCCTTTAAACAATATATTGTTCTACATAATTACAACTTTGCACTTTATATTAATCCAGACATATATTGTGGCGCTTCATTGAAAAATATTTAAGATATTTAAGATCTGTCTGTCTTGTCAGTAGAAGGTACATCATATTGAGGATTTTTGCATCTGTGTTCATCAGGAACATTGGTCTGGGATTTTCTTGTAGTGTCTTTGTCTGGTTGTGGTTGTCAGGATAACGCTGACCTCATAAAATGAGTTTGTAAGTGTTCTCTCCTCTTCTATTTTTTGGAAGAGTTTGAGAAGGATTGGTATTAATTCTTTAAATGTTTGGTAGAATTCATCATTGAAACCATCTGGTCATGAGCTCTTGTTTGTGGGGAGGTTTTGAAAACTCATTCAATCTCCTTACTAGTATTCAGTCTGTTCAGACTTTCTATTTCTTCATGATTCAGTTTTGGTAGATTATATGTATTTAGGAATTTACCCATTTCTTCTAGGTTGTCTAGTTTGTTGGTGTATAATTGTTCATGTTTGTCTCATGGTTCTTTTATTGTGTGGTTATCAGTTGTAATTTCTCCTCTTTCATTTCTAATTTTATTTCAGTCCTCTCTCTTTTTTTCTTGGTAAATCTAGCTAAAGGTTTACTGAGATTTTTAATCTTTTATTTCTTCCCTATCACTAAACCCCCATCCAAACACACACATACGTGCTCTTTTCTTTCCCTCTCATACTCTAGTTCCTTTATCTTTAAGGAATAGACTTGATAAGTTCTGAAGCAACAACTCTATTATGAATCCAAGAGATCTTCCTGCCAATGGAGAAATTATATTTTAATATGAAGGCCAGCCTTTCTGAAATGAAAAATATTGTATAATAAAAAATGTGGGCAAAAGCTCCTTAACTAAACAACTTAGTGTTATTGGAGAACAGTGGTGTCCTAAACCAGATTTCTAACAAGAAAAATGAACAGTCTTCTGATAATTATAAACCAAAATATTCAGAAAACTTGCTAGAAGTTAATGAAAAGAAAGTATCGGTGGCATTGAAAAAAATGTCTGAAATTCTTCAGGATATTGACTGTCTTTTATCAAACTCTAAAAAGTGAAAAATGGAATTATTACACTATATTATTAAACCTTAAGGATGTTGTTTCAAGCAACTAGTATAAAATTACTAGAAAGCCAAGGAATTGTATATACGACTTTTGTACAATCATTATATGAGAAGTGACATTTAACTTTGGAGGTATTTTACTTAACCTATAAATTTTTAAAATATATTTATAATGTACTTTATTAATAAAGAACTTTTTTGAAATTTTGAACAATTTCCTGTTTCAGATTTATGAAAAATATATATAATTATAGTTGTTGCTGTTTTATCTTGTGGAGCATTCGCTATTAATATTCAAGGGGTTTTTTTTAACATGTAGTATTGTGTGCATTTGGTCTTTTGCTATTTAATCTCTACTCCAAGTATTTTTCAATAGAATTATGAGAAGAAAATTAGATCTTAAAAAAAAAGGAACATAAGTAATATTGCTTTAGGCTAAGAATCAAATACTTTAACAATGACTTCATTTTATATGAACTGTCTCATGAACCAGATATGTTCATTTCTTTTGAACATCTGAAAAGTCTGAAACTAAAATGAGCTCACCATAAGTACTATTTATTATACTTTGTCTATTGGGAAAAAACAAAACCATATATCTAAAAAGACTTCAAGATTATACGAAATATAACCAGAAATATTCTAATTAAATTAACTTCTGGACTTAATCTTAGCCAAAAGGCCAAGAAGCAATTAATTTCTGATTTCATATAAAAGGGAAGAAGCAACAGAGGAAACGAGAAAAATAGCAAAGCAAGCAGAGCACAGCAGATTAGGAATATTGCCAGCGATCTGAATGGGCACAACGCTCTCTTTAGCTTCTTTCATGTCGGGCTCCTTGCCACCTTCAGGTCTCAGCAGGGGGTGACTACCCTATCTAAAGTTGGCCTCCCCCAGTTAGTTTCTATTACATCACCCTATTTGTTTCCTGTACATCACATACACAAATCATCCAACTTTGTGGTTTCTGTCCTCCACTAGAACTTGAGCTTCACAGTTATTCTGTAACCAAGCATAGTGCCTGGCATATTAAGAGCACTCAGTATGTGTTGTATAAATGAATCAGTGCCTTTGGACCTTAGACAGACTACAGAGAAAGAATTGTATGTTCTGTTTTGGTAGCGGGAAGCCATCTATGGTGTCCCTCAGTAGCTCTAGAAAGCCTAGACTATAAGAAAACATGTACCATGCTGCCATATGGTAATGCCAAGTTGCTACTGCATATGGATAAAAAAAATTTGTTAACATGACTGAAAGCACGTTGTGGTTAATGTATTTGGTGGTATTTTTAATTAGCCTTTATGCTGTATAAATAAAATGTTTAATTTTCCCCCAGTTGAGTCTTTTCCTTTGCCTGAGAACCAAGAGTGTGACAAACACTGAAAAGTTCTATAATTGAGATACTGAGCCACACTTTAAGGTTCTGTGAGAAGCCTGAGTTTGCTTGAGATTGAAGATTCCAATTTTCTGTGGTCTGTTTGAACTACGTAAATTTAATCTCACTGCTGCCCTTGCTTTCCTTCTGACACTTGTTTTGAGAAACTGTAGGTAGGAAAGAGAAAAAAATGTTCCTCTTTGAGCCTCCTCTTTTGGACCATGACTCCCCAAAGCCAAATGTCAAGCTAGATGTCTTCTTGGTGCTAAGAGAGCACACACTACTCAGACGCAGGGAGACAGGACCTGGCCATAGTCCCAGTAAACAAGCTGCAACTTGTCAGTCCAGGTAACCCATTTCTCATTTAGGAAAAAAAAGTACAGCTTGCTGCCAGCATGAATTTAATTTTATATAAACACACTTTGAGACTGATGCAAATCTAACTAGTTTTCAATGTGAAAAATATAAAAACTGTTCTTAGAGTTATTTCTAAACAGAACTTGTCTCTAATCCTAATGTAACAGAAATGAATATGATCACTAATATATTTTCGTGTGGTAAATTTCAAAGCACAACACAATGGAACATCTGGGATTTGACACTTTCAGCGCCTGAGAGCTACTATATTTTGTAAATACCACCACTAAAAATAGAATGCTATAAATAGAATGATATCCTTGGTTTCCAAAGATTACCTCTATACTAGTGCAATGCAAAAATAATAAAAGCAAGATATTTCATGGCAAACTTTGGGGGTAGGGTTAGGCCTATAATCTAAGAGTTGTCTGGGAGTAAATGTTGCAGCTGCAGGGTTACAAACTAGAAATGAGTTAATGAGGGTCAAACTATGTTTACGTAGGTGCTTTTTCCACTCTTCAGCATTTAGTGGTCACAATGAAGTGTTCTAGCCAGTTATGGCTGTCCACAGAAAGAGCTGTCTCCAACGTCCACCCGCATAGTGGCGAAAAATTATCAATAATTCCCCAAGGGGGCACTGAAGCGCTACGGAGGAGTCTCAGGTCTGCAAGGCAGCCTGGCCTGTCTCGTGAAAACCTCTCCCACGCCCAACCCCGAAGGATCTACTGAAGGAAGTCGGAAATATCTACACCTTTGGGACCCACGACGGCCTGTAGCTGGTTCCTAGTTCAAGCGTCTGGACAAAAGGCCTGCGCGTCCTGCTTTCGGTGAGGTTAATTTTGCGTCCCCAGCTTCCCGACCACCACTTGGGTGCGTTGAGGGTATCTCGGCGGCTACCGCTGTGGACGGAGCCGATCAGACCGAGAACGAACCCTTCGGTTTGATAGAAAGAACCAACAAGACACATTCCACTTCCCACCCCGTCGTCTCAAAGTTCTCCCTTTTGGGGCCACGGGGTTTAGAACTCGATGTATCCACCCGCTCCACCACAGAACATTCAAACTTCCGTTCGGTCGGCTCCGAGTCGAGACACTATCCCGTCATCCTCCCGGTCGGCTTTGCTGGCTGGAGCCCCTCTGGCCAGCGGCAGGCATCTCTATGGTACTGACGCAGGGGAGGAGGGGCGGGGCCTCTGTCCGCGCGGCGGGCTTCTGGCGCTAGAGCCCAGGGTGGGTGCCGCTGAGCTGCAGCGACGCATGGGGCGGGAGGGGGGCGGACGCGACGCCGCGATACTGCGTCCTGACGTGGGAGGCCGGAGGCGGGGACCACCCGAAGTTTGGAAAACCCAGGTTCCGGACGGGGAGGGCGCGCAGGGGCGGCAGGCGCGCGGGACCTGAGAGCAAGCTGGGTGTACTTGACCCGCCGGGGGGTTCACTGTCCGGTGTCCCCGGGATCTTCGCGAAGTCCTGGCACCGTTTTCTGGCTTTGTCGCGCCTTCTAGATCCCATAGGAGCCCAACCCTCGCCCATATTCCGCTCCCTTGACGTTTTCCTGGCCCCAGGCGGGGTGCCGAGGGTCTTGATAGAATTACCCATTGCCGTCATTACCAGGCGTCCGAGCCCTTAATGTCTCCGGGTCCTTGGAGGCGTCAATGTGATTGATGAGTGTGACATGGTCCCTTTCCTGCAGACGCCAGGGCTTCCCACCCTGTTTTTTTAATCGTCATTTTAAAAGTTTTGCATCACACCAACCCGACGAAAGAATGACTTTGGCAATATGCTGAGACTTGAAACGTCGAAATTCAGCATTGTATATTTTATTCGTAATGATTATAGGATTTGACCATTTTATATGGAGGCTATAAAAAGTGTCCGTGAAAGTGAGCAAGATTTGTGTTTTCTTTCTTTGCAAATTAGCTGCATTAGATTTGGCATCTGCTTTGGGTATTGTAGCATTAAAGAAATTATGTTTCGCAGCAACTACAGTTCAGAGGACTTATTCGTAAAGCATAATAAAGGCAGTTTTCGGATTTTAGACTGCCTTTATTAGAGCAGGTGCCGGGAGGAAGGGGATGAAGTAGAAGATAACATTTACTTTTACTTTTGGAATTTGTCAGCTCTGTTTTGGCAGAAATGTATAATAGATTATTAACAAACAATGAATAATAGTGTATAATTAAAGCGGCTAGTTAAGTGTTCGTGGAGTTTAAAAAAGGAAGCTTACTTGGAAAACACCATAGTTGATGACATTTTACTGTAATGGGAATGGGATGTGGCAGAATTTGGCCATTGCAGAAAGTGGCTCCTACTAGTTATAGAGATTTATGATCTGGGTAACTGGCTGTTATGGTAGAGAATTCATTCTAAGTAATATCTTTAATTCATATGCTAAGGATTGTTTACATGCTTACCCCTTTTATTAGTATAATGAAATATTTATTAAACACTTGAGCAAGTTAGATTTTATGTATGACAGGTTTAAAAGACAATTTTAATTACTACTGTTAAGGAACTTGCACCTAAAGTGAGAATATGTAAAATAAACATAAAGCTCTTTTACAGCTTAAGAGGCTCCCGAGTCCTTTCTATTTCTAGAGGGAGGAGCAGCAAGTAGAAAAGGGAAGAAAAAGGTAAGAAAAATGGGCACTCTTAGGTGTCCTAGTCAGAGACAATAAATAAGAGGAAATACACTTATTAAATTTCTATCTCATATTCAGAATCTAATCTAAATATATGCACGAATAGTTGGGGTGAAATAGATGTCAAAATTGTGTGTTTCTAGGACCATGATTATACCTTTCTTAAAAATAGAAACTACTGTTTTAGCTGTCTGTTGCTGCATAACAAATTACCCAAAACTTAGAGGCTTAAAATAATAAATGTTTCCTTTTGGCCTAATCTGCCTCTTTATAGAGATATTTAATACATTCACATTTACTGTGCTATTTGTGTTTGATATGTTTGGTACCTATTACTTTTGGTGGGAGAGTGGTAAAGTTTTTTTCTTTGCTTTATTTTCTGTTCTGTTTTGCTGTATCGATCCTTTCTTTATTCCTCTCCCCTACCCCTAGAGATTTAGAAGTCCTGATCCTCAATTCCTTTTTCCCCAGAAATCATACATAGGTGTTGTAATTTCTAAGGCAAAAACTTTTAAAATTCACAATTGTCACATAGGCCCCATAATTTAGTTATGTGTAGAATCCTACAGTAACGATCCTTTTCTCTTAGAGCTCTGTACCCCATGTTTAATGTTGATGTTAATTACATCCTCTTTCATTTGCTGACAACCTTTTTGGGGGGAGGGGATTTGAATATTCTTAAGGATTTTCTCTTTATTTTTTGAATATTTTTTCTTTCACTTCCTACCTCTTTTTTTTTACCTCAAGCTTTTGGAAAAATTCTTTGAAAATGTTCGTATTCACTTAATTGTGTCTTTTGAAACATTCATTTTATTATGCATTGCTTTTATTAACCTTTTATTTGAGCAATCAGGCATTTCAGCTCCATAATCTTTCTTGTTTTCAAATTGCTCCTTTTACTTGAATGTCTGCTGTTGTTATTGACAATAAAGTATATTTTCCTAAGTTTTATTATCTTCATTGGTATATAATTGACATGTAATAAAGTGTACATATTTCAGATGTACAATTTGATACATTTTGATGTGTGTATGGAATTATCACTACAATCAAAATAATGAACATATCTAGCCACCAGAGTTTCCTCATGCTCTTTTTTTTAATCTTCCCTGCCTCTCCTGTCCCCATGCAACCACTGATCTGCTGCTTTCTGTCACTTAGATTAGTTTGTATTTTCTAGAATATTATGTAAATTGAATCATACTATGTACTCTTTTAAAAGAACTTCTAAATGAAAACTTTAAACATACAGAAAGGTAGAGGATAAGTATAATGAACTACAGTGTATCCATTACCTAAATTTAACAATTATAACATTTTCCTGTACTCATTTACTTTTTTAAATTAATAGACTTTTTTTTTACATTTTCTAAAAATTTTATTTTATTATTAGTTTTAAGTATAAGGTACATTAGTTAGACATTTATATAGTTTATGAAACAATCCCTTGATTACCCTTTCTTCCTTTTGGCTCTACACCTAGCCATTACATTACTGCTGACTGCATGCTCCCCATCCCCGTGACCATCTATCAGCTACTAATTTGTACTTCTTTAACTTTTCACCCCTTTCTCCCAGTTCCCCAAACCGCCCCTCTTGCCATCACCAGATTGTCCTCTACAAATAATAGACTTTATTTTTTTATAGCAGTTTTAGGTTTTCTAGAAAAATTGAGCAGATAGTATAGAGTGTTCCCATATACAGTTGACCCTTGAACAACAGGATGTTAGGGTTCCTGACTCCCTTCGCAGTCAAGATTCCATGCATAACTTTTATATTACTTTTAGTAGGTACACAGTACCTGAAACTTAACTACTAATAGCCTACTGTTGGCCAGAAGCCTTACCAATAACATAAACAGTCAGTTAACACATACAGTGTATGTTATATGCGTTTTTTTTACAATAAAGTAAGCTAGAAAAAAGTGTTATTAAGAAAATCATAAGGAAGAGAAAAATATATTTAAGGTACTTACTGGAAAAAATTCACTTACAAGTAGACCCATGCAGTTCAAAGCCGTGTTGTTCTTGAGTCAACTGTATTCCCTCTCCTACTGCACACATTTCTCCCTAATATTAACATTTTGCATTAGCTGGTACATTTGTTACAAGGAATGAACCAATATCGATACATTATTGACTAAAGTCCACAGTTTACTTTAGGGTTCATTTTTTGTATTGTACAATTCTATAGGTTTTGACGATGTACTCTTGTGGGGTGTGTCTGGCTTGTTTCACTGAGTATGTTATAGAGGTTCATCCATGTTTTTGTATGTATCACTCTTGTTTCTTTTTATTTCTTTTTCCACTTTTTTGTTTCTCCAGTTGGGTTGTTTGGAATTTGGAGCTAATGTAGATAAAACTGCTTTGAACATTGTGTACAAATCTTTGTGCAGATGTATGCTTTCGTTTCTCTTAGGTAAATAGGAATGGAATGGCTGTCATACAGTAGTGGTATGTTTAACTTTTTGAGAACTGGAAAGTACTTGTACCATTTTACATTCCCACCATCAGTATATGAGAGTTCTGGTTGCTCCACATCTTGTCAGCATTTGGGATGATCAGTCTTGTTTTAGCTATTGTGATAGGTATGTTTGGTATCTCACTGTGGTTTTACTTTGCATTTCCTTAGAAATTAATGATATTAGTCTATGGCCATGCCACCCTGAACACGCCCGATCTCGTCTGATCTCGGAAGCTAAGCAGGGTCAGGTCTGGTTAGTACTTGGACGGGAGACCACCTAGGAATACCAGGTGCTTTAGGCATTAAAAAAATAAAATTTAAAAAAATAATAAAAATAAAAATATTAATGATGTTGAGCATATTGCATGTGCTTATTGGCCATCTGTATATCATCTTTGTAAAGTACTTTTCAAATCTTTTGCCCATTTTTATATTGTTAACTGTGTTTGAGAATTTTTTATTCTAGATACAAATCATTTATCAAATATGAGATATGCACATATTTTCTCCCAGTCTGTGGTTGGTTTTTTCATTTTGATACCATTTTGTTTCAAAGAGTAGAAGTTTTTAATTTTGATGTTCAATGTATCAGTTTTTTAAAACAGGTTGAGCTTTTGATATTGCATCTAAGAACTCTTTGCATAACCCAAGTATGCAAAAATATTCTACATTTTCTTCCAGAAGTTTTACAATTTTATGTTTTACTTTTAGGTCTGCGATCCCTTTGGAGTTAATATTTGTATGTGGAGTAGGGTACCAATTGAGGTTCATTATTTTTGCATATGGACATCCTGTTGTTCCAGCACTATTCGTTGAAAAAAATATCTTTTCTGATTTTCCTTTGCATGTTTGTCAAAAATCAATTGACCAGGTATGTGTGGATCTATATCTGATCACACTCTATTCTGTTCCTTTGATCTATTTGTCTGTCTTTATACCAAGACCACACTGTCTTGATTACTGTAGCTTTCTAATAAGACCAGAAATCAGATGGTGTAGTCCTTCAACTTAATTCCTCTTTTTCAGAGTTGTTTTCCTATTCTAGGTCTTTTGTATTTCTCTATAAATTTTAGAATATACACAATGAACTATGTATAGTTTTTATCACAATGGAAATTGATCATTCTCAATAAATCATTTAGTTACTCTTCAGTCTCAGAATTAAAACAAAACAATATGAAACAAAAACTTCAGGTATTATACAATATTGATAACTTTTAACTGGATAAATGATTTCAATATTCTATGCCAGGTAAGCGCTCAGCACAGAATTATGATTGCCTTTTTATGTCAATTAAGATTCTTTGGTTAAAGGCAACAAAAAAGAGAGGGATTTATTGGGAAAATGCTGAAGTAGCTCATAGAAGTGAAGAGTGAGTTTCAGGAACTAAGGCAGCTCTGAGAACGTTAGAGTTAGACCTGAGGACTTAATGTCCTAATGATTCTTTTTTCCTAGGCTATTCCATGTAGGGGAGCCTGTTGTCTGCAATAAGAAAAGGAACTTTCCTTACCAGCCTCACTTAGAAAAATTCTAGAAAGGAGTCTGATTGGCCTAGTCTGGGTCACCTTCATAACTAGATTAATCACTACTAATCTAATCACTAGTGGAAAAGGATTGCTAATTAGTAATTACTAATTAATCACTACAACTAATAAGGGAGTCGGGAATTCTGATCAGTCAGCTCCAGAGTGTGGGTATAGTGATGAGCAGTTTTCCCCCAGGAAGGGCATGCTGCTACCAGAAGTATGGAAGGTTGTTGCTGGGTATATAGGCACAGTGGATGCCTACCACCACCTAGTAAACATCGCTGAGAGCTCGAACTTCTCAATGACCTCAAAGTAATAGATTACAGTCAGTGGGTTTTCTTAAATTTCCCTTCATATACATTACCTACTAAACTTTTTCCTACAAAGCTTTTCTCTTCGGTCCATATGGCATATTATATGTAACGTGCAAGAAATGCCATTTTTTAATACATGAAAGTTGTTAAGAGAGTAGATCTTTAATATTCTCACCACACACAAGAAAAGGTAACTGTGTGAAGTGATGGATGCATTAACTTTATCGTGGCAGTCATTTCACAACATGTATGCATATCCAAATCATCACATTGTACACCTTAAACTTAGTGTTGTATATCGATTATATCTCCATAAAGCTAGGAAAAACAAAATAAAATTACTGACAACAGTTAAAAAAAGAAATACCAATTTTTACAACTTGGTTTTATCTTTGTAAAATTAGTGCTGATAATGTCTTATTTAAATATTATATGGTAGCCCATCATCTTCATGAATATTTTTCTCTGCTTTCGATTTTAGGGTGACCGGGAATGTAAACAAGAATAACCTGCTTGTTTCCTGATGGCTTTTAGTCTATACTGACATACGGTTTGTGATGGCATCTGAGACTGAGAAGACCCACGCTTTACTACAGTCTTGTAGCACTGAATCTCTTATTTCCAGCCTTGGTCTGGGGATATTTTGCCTAGTAGCTGACAGACTACTACAGTTTTCCATAATTCAGCAAAATGACTGGCTCCGCGCTCTCTCAGATAATGCAGTGCATGGTGTGATTGGCATGTGGTCATGGGCAATAGTCATTGGAGTCAAGAAGAAGACCGACTTGAGAGAAATTGTTTTAGCTGGATTTTTAGCCTCTATTATTGATGTAGATCACTTTTTTCTAGCTGGATCCCTATCTTTAAAGGTAAAGATCATATATATTTAATTTTTCTGGCCTTTATTTTAATTCTTTAGCACCATTATATTGGTCTTCACAGTATTTTAGTTAAAGCTATAAATAATAAGCTTTATTTTAAAATAAGAAAGCCCATTCCTTCAACTTTTTTGAGCACCTAGTGCTTCCCTCAAGGTGCTCACATACATGTTGCTGATCAAATTACTTGACATCACAAAGTGCCATGGATATGCACAGAGCAAGGACTTAACTAATTGTACCTGAAGAGTTCAGTGTCGGCTTTACAGAGAATGTATTTAGTATTTAGCCAGCTCTTGAAGGAAGAATTAGCCAACTGGTTTAGAGTAATGGATGCCGTTCTCGGGGCTATCCTAGTTTTTTTTGTATCATTGTTCTTTCTTCCAGACCACACTTAAATTTCTCCCCACATTCTTCATGTTTTATGGATAGTACACAACTCCCAAGTGCTCCATAACAGTTAAATTGCTTAAAGATGATTCCCAGTCCTGGGAAATGACTTTAATGGATTTATTCCCTAAATCTCTCATGGAGCCAAAAGTATGCATTTCAGTGGGCTGATCTGGACACAGTCCCTGGTAGAGAAATTGAGGAATTTCATTGAGGCATCAGAGATTTAGCTATATAGTAACCTATTAGCCTTGCAAGTGAACTAAGCTTAAAGTGGCGGTTCAGATAATAGTTTCTAAGTGTCAATAGATTTTCCTACTTTTACCCGTTTATGATGTGTAAACATTTCAAGAAAAGAAATACAAACTCATAGAGCAAGGACTTTGCTTCGCTGCCCACTGACCTAGAACAGTGCCTGGCTCACCTAGTTGATGTTTGATAAATATTTATTGAATAAATGAAAAAGATATCGTCTCATTATGTGTCAAGTACTATACCAGGTATGTCTCAGAGATCGTTTTACAACCAGTAAGGAATCAGTAATTCCCTATTAAAGACAAATTTCCACTTTTCTGCTCTGAGTGGAGGCAGCATAACATTGCTGTTTAAGTTTGGAATCAAAAGACTTGAGTCTGAATCCTTGTATATAGTGTTAGCAGACGACCTTTCTTCTTTAAGTCTCAATTTCCTCATCTTCGAAATGTGGATTATAACAATACTTACCTCATAGAGTTGTGAGGATTAAGTGAGCATGTTAATATAAATGGATTTCACAAATAAAAGTGTGCAGAGTCATTATCCCTCCAGACATAATCCAGAGTATAACTGCTTTCTGCCAAGTAGTGATTACCAGCGGCTTCCTCATCCCACCTTGCTATTGAGGAGCATGATATAGTGTAGGTAGAGAACTTAAAAACAAAGATGGAGATGAAAATGGAATAATGATGCAGAAGAATGGAATAATAATGTGGAGGAGAAGGGAGAGGGAAGCATGTAGAATAAACTTTGATGTTCAGTCAGTAGGTAGGAGTTAAAGAACACTTGTTTCAGTAGTGGGTTTATAAGATTTCCACTTTAATTAAGAGTGTTCTGATTTGACAATGTGGCAAGGTACAGTCTCTTTAATGGATGATTTTTTTTTTTTAAATGTGGTTAGAGGGTTGCATCCTCTACCTTTTTTGTTAGGTACCTAATTTTTTTTTTCTTTTCTACTCCTTTTCCCCTTCACTCAATCTCCAAAGGGTTCCTCTTCCCTCCGTCTTCTCCCCAGGAACTGATGTCTTTCAAAGCCTCCAGTCATGCACACTTTTAAGTAATTATCTGTATGAGTGCTCTGACCTACTGGGACCCTTTTCACTATTTTTGTACAGAAGTTGCACTTTCTCCTTCTGGTGGTAATTTTAGATCATTCTAAGGTTTCCCCTCATCTTTCTTCAATGTAGTTTTTCCTGGCTTGTGGTGGATATGTGAGAGAGAGAGCTCACTGATTTGGTGTTTATTTTAATATTTTAGGGTATTTGAAGTTTGGGCATTCTCTGACTTCTATCTGTGCTGAGCGAGGGTTGGTATAGTTTTATTTATCCTTGTTCTATAATGCTTTCGAGTATGTATGGGAGATTTAGATTTAGGCAATCCTCACCATCCTTAGCTTTCTTTTTATTAGAAATTATCTAGTTGAAAATTAGCCTTTAGAATATGTGAGAATGAAGCCTTATTCATGGATCATTCAGAGATTAAACTTGAAGTTTTCATTTGTTTAGATAATGATTACACTTTTTGCAATGGTTTAGAAACTTTACCGAAGTTTATTTAACTCAAACTTAGAATACTTATTTAAAATAATATAATCTTTCTAAATGTTGTAAATAAATTCTGAAAGTATTCAAGACTAATATAAAATGGTTACAACAAAATATTCCTCTTTCGTGCCATAGTTAATAAAAGAATATATTATTCAGTTGTGAAATTTTTTTCAACACCCTTAGAGGCCCCAGACAATTCTTTAAAACTCCAAATTTACACAAACCATACATTTAGGATGTAAATTACATTTGAATTATGACTTTTCTAATCAGATAATAGGAAACTTAAAAAATTAATCACCATGTTCTTGAAATCTTGATTTCATTTTTATTGCAAAGGATACCTTTTTTTAATTTCCTTTGCCTGTATATAATAGATTAAATGCATGTATTTGGAGGTGGCATAGAAAATGATTCCTTTGCATTTCCAATAGAATTCTGAAAAATATTTTAGAATATTCAGAAGCATCTATAAAATTTTGTTTGCCACAAAGGAAATGACATAGCCATTGCTTTCCTTCCATAGGCTGCTTTGACTCTTCCACGAAGACCATTCCTTCACTGTTCTACTGTGATACCCGTTGTGGTTCTGACCCTGAAGTTTACTATGCACCTTTTCAAGCTCAAAGACTCATGGTGCTTTCTTCCGTGGATGTTATTTATGTCGTGGACCTCACACCACATCCGAGATGGCATTCGTCATGGCCTATGGATATGCCCATTTGGAAAAACTTCTCCTTTGCCATTTTGGCTTTATGTAGTAATTACATCATCTTTACCTCACATCTGTTCATTGGTTATGTATTTAACAGGGACCAGACAAATGATGTCTTCAAAACATGGAATTCATATTGATGTCTGAAGTAATCATATGGCAGTCTTAGAGAAGCAAATGGTTGAGACAATGATAATTAAGTGTAGCCAACATTAAAGTGAATTTAAAAAACATTAGGAACTTATATTAATTATTATAATTCCTGAATCTTCTTGCTCAGGAAGCATGTACAAATTTTTTTATATTATGTATTTATTGTAATTCTACTTCTGTAACACTCTAGTGCAATATTAGAGTTTCATTAATTCGATGATATATTTTTATTGTTTCTTCTGTTTATCTGGCTCTACTGATAACTATTAGATTAATATCCAATTAAGTTTTCTGGAACTATAGCTTTCAGATAGTTTATTTCCTAAAGAAAAACAGTTTAAATTTTAGGGTGACTAATTTGTGGAAAGTTAGCATTATATTTGGATCCACATTTTCCAAGACATTGAAACAGTGAAATGGCCAAAATAACAGATCATGAATAAAATGTATAGAGAACGCTAACATTTCTTTATGTCATTTATGTTGATCCTTACTGAAGTTTAATTTGCCAAGTGTTTTTAGTGAGCTGTGATTACTGGCATAATCTGCTTCAGTGGACTTGTGAGAAATCATTGCAATAGTCGCAAAAGACAGTAACTAACATTAGATTTAAGCTATTGTTTCAGAAATCACTTTAGGAAATTATTATAATGTGTTGGCTACAGTAACATCTTCCTGAAGTATTATTTTTTTAGTGTCTGCCCCAGAATTTTGTGTTAGGGTTTTAACTGTTTTGAAAAACATAACTAAATTTAACAAAATATTTGTCGAAAATTAACATGAACAAAATATTGATACTTGGCTCATAACCATAGGATTTGAATTCACACAAAAAAGGACTTACCAGTAATGTCATTTAGGATGTAAACTTATAAATGTGCCATTAAATTTGTTTTAGTTGCTGCCAATTTTTTTACACACAATTGTTAAATAATATACTAGTTAAATCATTTTTTAAAAATCCGCCTGATACTGAGAGACAAAACTTTCTTTTTTTTTTTTCTCAAAATAAAAGTAGTTTTTGAAAATTTGATTTTCCTTTGTCCTTTCAGGTTAATTTCTGTTAAAAATGATTAGCCTTGGTCTTTCGAGCCACGCTTCTCTCGCTCAATACTTTGCTTCCACATCTGGAAGTATACTTTCCCTTCTAATAAAACTTTTGTTTTCTACTGTAAAAAAAAAAGAAAAGAAAAAAAGGTTAACCTTTATAAGAGAAGGAAATTTAGTTGCTGTAAATTTTAAATTTGCAGTTTAATGTTACTTTGATATAAAAGCCGTTTCCCCAAAGGCACCTGCTTTTGTTTGTAGCATATGTGCCATCTGCTGTCTTCGTATTTTCTTACGCCTTTGTGATTTGTAATGTTAGTGATTGTGTGCCTTATCCTCTGAAAAATGATGCAGCAACGCCTTATCCGAGCAGATCTTTCTTATTAAGTTAAACAGTGTCCTGTAAATTGTTATAAAGGTTTAGTCTCTTTAATTTTTCATTTTGTTTTTAACCAATTGATTTTATAATCTACTGGATCTTACAAGCTGTTATTATCTTTCGAGAGCAATTATTGTGTCAGTTTCATTGGTTTAATAGTAAATATACAGTGGGGGTAAATTTGGTTAAGGTAGAGCTTTTTAAAAAGCATATGATTTCAGAAATTCATGGCAATAAAGCATTATCTTGTGTAACTTTTTCTGACTAAATCATAAAACTCTGCTTTTTTCTTTCTCCAGGCCTAATTTAAGAATGTCACATTGGCATTTGGTGGTTGTCCTAACTTTATTAGAGTGGGAGTTCACTTTGACCATGACTCTGCTTAAACAACTGCAGATTTTGAATGTGAGTTTATCTTTGTTCCTGCCTCTACCATCAGAAATGTTCCTTGTCTTCTAAATGGTCTCTGAAAGCTGTGGTTATAACACCTCAAAATATAACAACCAAGTTCCCATAACACCATTTTGTTCCTTTTCTTAGAGAAAGAGTTTGCGTCAGTGTATCGTACTGGAAGTTGGGTTGTATCTTGTTTGCATGTGTGTATTTTCTTCATCCTCTAGATGTCCTCCATTCACTTAGTGTTTCTCTATTGACTGTTTCACTGATCTGACCTCCCATTCTACTGTTTTCTGGAGTCATGTCAGTTATACTGGCTACTCAGGAGAATGTCCACCACTGAACTATCTTCTACTCATCTGCAAGCCTAGTTTTCCTTAGAGGTGGGCTAAGAATCCCTGCTGCATGTGGGTTAAAATTGTCATGTATCTTCACCCCTTTTCTTTAACTTAGACCTATCTTCTCCCAGGCACCCCACAACCTCCATCCAATCAGGCAGATACTTCCTGGCTCCTTTTTCTTTTGGCTGGTGGGATAATTACTTCGTTTTTCCATTTTCCCATCTGAAGTGGGGAGAAATCGGGGCTATTTTAGTCTTTGCTCAACCACTGTCACAGCTAAACCTTTTGTCCATCATAGTTCTCAGTTTTCTTCGTTTGATAGCTTTTATTACTCTATCGTCCTTACCCTCACATGCTACCCTCTAAGACTCACTTTTACCTTCTTTGATGATCTAAGCACCTGGATCCCCTTTTTATTTCAACCCTTGATTTTTATCCTGTCATCAGATGACCTCCCTGAAATCTGGACTTCTTCTGCACCCCTGGCCCTCATCGCCATCTCACATCAGCCATCCACCAGGATGACAGGCCTCTGTACCTCCTTTTTAGGTGACACTGCTCATCTCTGAGATCCCAGTCTTTGTTTCCTTTTTCTAGACCAGTGTTTCTCAAACTCAAGCATTCATCAGAATCACCTGTGAGGATGATTAAGGACCGCCCCCCAGTAGTTTTGACCTGATAGAGGCCCTGAGAATGCGCACTGCCAATAAGTTTCTAGTTGGCGCCGATGCCGCTGTTCAGGGACCATGCTTTAAGAGTCACTGCTGTGGACCCATCCTGCTTCTTTACGTTCTTTTTCCTCTCCTCTCCTCTCTTCCTTGCACCAACTCTTTGCCTCTCTGTGGCTTAAAACCAATAAGACTTTTATGGCTTAACCTTGGACAAAACAGGCATCACTGAATTGGACCCAAAATATATTGCCCTACCAAGATCCAGGGCCACCCCCAAATATAGCCTAAATAAGCAAAACCTTCATTATCACAAGTGGTTTTGAAACTCTAATCTCCCACAGAGATGAGACACTGATTCATGAAACTGTGTTACTGGAAAGGCAATAACTGGAGTGGGAATTTCTCCAGCACAAACAATGCAATGAAGGGAAAGATGACCAGCCTCTTATAGACTGGGACCCCTGATTAACACAAACACTTCTGAGAGCTGATATATTCAGACAAAGAGAATGCTGCTTGTCACTTCATGTCTCTGGCTCCTAGCCAGCTGCCTAGCCACCTGACTCAAACTGAACCGCCTGTGCCCCTCAGATGGCGGAAACCTGAGAATGTTCTTACTGGTTACAAACACAAGTTCTCAGAACATGAAAACAAGATGAAATAGAATTCTCATCTTATGATTTTCCTCCTTACGATAAATGAGACAAAGGAGATGATGACTATTTCTAGAAGACTAATAACCAATGGATACCCCAAACCAAATTCATAAGGATCACGATTCAAAAGACTACTTCCTACTGGAAATACATCGGACTGAAAGGAGTTCTGTTTACTCTCTCGATGCATCATTTGGCAGGCAGCGTCCATTGCTTTAGGTGCTTCATGTGCTCTTCTACATATTCCTATACATTCATGCAGGGCAGACAGAGGAATCTGTTGGGATTTTACCAGTGTGCCAGCACACCCAACAAAATGTCTGTCATGTTATATGATTCCTGACTGTGGAATATATGAGTAACATAGCTATCAAATGGGCAGATAGGTTTCCATTTGTTTTCCCATCGTTTCTCCTCTGGACTCAAATCATGAAGGAATAACCCTTAAGGAATTTCTTTTTTTTCTTTTCTTTTTTTTTTAATTTTATTTTATTAGTTTCAAGTATCCAGTACATTGGTTAGATATTTATATAGTTTATAAAATGATCCCCCTAATTGCTCTTTCTCTCCTCTAGCTCTTCACCTAGCCATTACATTGATGCTAACTGCATTCCCTATTCCATGCTCCTCATCCTTGTGACTCTATCAACTACTAATTTGTACTTTAAAAAAATTTTTTTTATTTTTTAAATTTTAATTAGTTTCAATTATACAGTACATTGGTTAGACATCTATAGTTTGTAAAATGATCCCCCCAATGGTTCCATCCCTCCCCTGGCCCTCCACCTAGCCAACGTATTAATGCTAACTGCATTCCCTATGCCATGCTCCCCATCCCCGTGACCATCTATCAATTACTAATTTGTACTTCTTTATGCATAGGTTACTTTTTGACACAGAATTTTATGTCTACATTGAACCCATATCTTATACTAATAAGATGGCTATGTTGTTATTTGATTTACGTGTAAACTATTAATAAAGACAACTCTAAATTTTTAGTGATGTCTTCTTATTATTCTGAAAGCCAGACTAGTCCATTTTATTGACTGATTTAATTTGTGCTATAGAATATTTCATAACCAAAGTTCTTCTGCTGAGATTACCTTTTGTAAACCAGTGGTGCCACAATCTAATATGTTAAACAAACATTCCTGGGTCATATATTGAATATTCTGTCCAGATTTATTACATCATCTGCCGCACTTATATAATAGGTAGTTATGTAATGACTTTGCCAGTGAAGCTCAGACTTCCAATATTAAGGACATCAAACCTTGAAACTCATGATCATGAGAGGAGT